CCCACCCACCCTACGATTTCTGAAACATGTTATGCATCTTCTTTTTTCTCACTTCGTTTGAAACTAAACCACTCTAGACCACCATCGGTACACTGCCAGCAGGACCACTTCCGGAAACCAATAGATCCCACTTTTTCATCGAAATATAAGGTGGGTGTTGTTTTGTCTGCAATCGAATGTGAGTTTCGTCTATAATAGAAGCTAACTAAAGCTTGAGAGGTGGGGGTGGATCTAGGCTTTCCGTCTGTTTTACAACAGCGACCTCACCAGCTTGTAAAAGCTTCGAAATCAGCTTATTAAAAGGGGAAGAAGCTGATACATTGGAAATCAAAGAAGTTGGGAATAAATATAAGGTTTCCGTCTGCTTTCCAACCCTGTCGATGTTCTTTTCTAACAATCTCCATTTGAGGCGATTCTTGGTTTGGTTTCATTTGAGGCGATTTCGGAAGGTATTATCATCAGGTTTAGTTTCATTAGATGCAGACAGGAGTCCCTAGTATGTGGTTTTTTCTATGGGTTTTCTGTTGAAGAAAGAAAGGATTTGTTGGTAGTTTTTTTGGTGGTGCCAGAGAGCGTGTGGCCGATGAGGTGTGATCGATGAAAGAAAGAAAAATAGTGGTGTCGATATGAAAATAAAATATAGTATGTGTGGATGCGAATGGTGTTTGATGGCCGTCGATGGCAGTGGTGTTCAATGGTAGTTGCGGATGAGGGCGATGAACTAATGAATAAATAAATAATATATAAAAAAGACAATAAATATGGGTAATATAATATTTTTATGTTTGTGAAGGACGAACAACGCAACAAAATGAAATTGTACGGTAGGTTCGGGGCGCAAGAAACAAAAAAAGTTAGAAACCAAACACTTAATTTAGGAACCAAATACGTACGGTCCAAACGCAATAAAAAGATTATATATATATATATATATATATATATATATATATATTGTTAAACTATGTAAAAAAAATTATATATAAAAAAAGTAACTTTCAAATTTTAATAATTTTTTCTAATTTACGTGACATTGTTATAGGTTCATAAGATATCAAAGATATAATAATCATTATAACAAGAGATCTCTTATAACAATCATCAATATTAATCTTAACATAATTATAAAGTAATTAAGAAATTTGGTTACTAATAAATGGAATTATCACTCAAAATAACTACGTAACTTAAAATGTTAGGAAAATCTTCACCTAAACAACTATATACCTAATACATTCGACATATAACAAAATCAACCCAAAAACCTAGTTAACCCCATTATTATTATTATTATATAATATTCGTAAAAAGCAAGAAGAATATAAATAAATAATATGCCTAAAATAAAAAAATAGTTTGAAAAAAAGAAAGAAGTATATTTGTCCAGAATCGGAGGGAGTATTTGAACAAACATAATCGCTTTCACTTCCTTTCATATCAAACCACAGAATCAAAAAGAGATATACGAAACGATAAATCAAAAACCAGGACCCATCTTCTTCCATGGTAGGCCCCAACCACCACCATCACCACAACACTAACACAACACCGCCTATACCAAACTTCATCCCTTCACCTCTACGTCATTAGTCATTAGTCATTCCCCCAATTCATTCACTTTCTCCTCCAATTCATCAGCCGGCCACCGGAAAACCATGGCCAAGCTAGTAGTACAAGTCATCGACGCCGCCGACCTCATGCCCAAAGACGGCCAAGGCTCTGCAAGCGCTTTTGTTGAGGTCAATTTCGACGGCCAACGCCAGCGTACCCAAACCAAAATCCGAGATCTCAACCCGGCTTGGAATGAGACTCTCGTTTTCAACGTTGAAGATCCCAGAAATCTCCCGTTCTCCACTATCGAGGTTACTGTATATAATGATCGGAACCCCAATCATCAGAAAAACTTTCTTGGTCGTGTTCGGATATCTGGCGACTCTGTGCCTTTGTCGGAGACTGAAGGGTTTGTCCAGAGATACCCACTTGATAAACGTGGATTGTTCTCCAATATACGAGGAGATATCGCTCTTAAAATCTACGCCGTTCAGGGTCAGTTTTCTTCAAATCTACCGCCACCGCAACAGCACCACCATGCTCGTCATGAAGATGATTGGAATGATCATTTCAAAAGTACCAAACAGGTCCCTGTAGAAGCAGAAATCAACAACAATCATTTTCCTTTCGAAAACGAGTACAAGGAGTACGACGATAGTGATGCGAAAAAGAAGAAGAATAAAGAGAAACAAAAGGAAGTCAGAACTTTTTTCTCCGTCGGCACCGGCGGCCACGGAGGCGCGCCACCACCGGTCCCGGCAGCTCCACCTCCGGTCACCGTGGAAAGCAAAAGCAACTTCATGAGAGCTGGACCACCAAACATGATGCATATGCACCAGCAGTTCCCGGGGCAAAAACCACCACCGAATTTCGGATTAGTGGAGACACGGCCGCCGGTGGCGGCGCGTATGGGGTACCGTGGAGCTGACAAGACGGCGACAACCTACGATCTGGTGGAGCAGATGCATTTCTTGTATGTAAACGTCGTTAAAGCCAGAGACCTCCCGTCGATGGACGTCACCGGCAGCCTCGACCCATACGTGGAAGTGAAGCTCGGAAACTACAAAGGCGTCACAAAACACCATGAGAAGAATCACCACCCTGTCTGGAACCAGGTTTTCGCATTCTCCAAAGAACGATTACAGTCCACCATTCTCGAATTGGTGGTGAAGGATAAAGATTTAATTACAAAAGACGATTTCGTCGGAAAAATCAGATTCGATATAGTCGATGTTCCAACTCGAGTCCCGCCGGATAGTCCTTTAGCTCCTCAATGGTACAGACTGGAAGACAAAAACGGTGTAAAAGTCAGGGGAGAAATCATGCTCGCTGTCTGGATGGGGACTCAGGCCGACGAAGCCTTCCCCGGAGCATGGCACTCCGATGCTCATGGCATTAGTCATCACAACCTCGCAAACACACGATCAAATGTCTATTTTTCTCCAAAATTATTCTACCTAAGAATTCACGTCATCGAAGCTCAAGATCTCATCCCTGTGGACCGGAGTCGGCTCCCTGAGTTTTACGTCAAAATAAACCTCGGAAGCCAGATGCGAACCACCAGAATCTCACAAATCAGAAGCTTGAATCCTTCTTGGCAGGAGGAGTTAATGCTCGTCGCCTCTGAACCATTCGACGAGTTTCTTATAATCAGCGTTGAGGATCGAATTGGGCTGGGAAAAGACGTTTGTGTCGGCAGGACAAATGTCCCCGTTCGTAGAATTCCACAAAGAATCGATTACAGAAAAGCTCTGGAACCTGTGTGGATTGACCTCGGGAGACCCACCCACTGGGACGATGATTCCGAGAAGAAGAAAGAGGTCAAGTTCGCAAGTAAGATTCAGCTCAAATTATGTTTAGACGCCGGATATCATGTTCTCGATGAATCCACCCATTTCAGCAGTGATCTACAGCCGTCTTCCAAGTTTTTAAGGAAACAAAGCATCGGAATCCTCGAACTCGGAATCCTAAGTGCACAAAATCTCCTTCCTATGAAGATTCGAGAGGGTCGTATGACTGACGCTTATTGTGTCGCTAAATATGGTAACAAATGGGTTCGAACCCGGACACTTCTCAACACACTAACGCCTCGCTGGAACGAACAGTACACCTGGGAAGTTTACGACCCGTGTACAGTCATCACCGTAGCCGTCTTTGACAACTGCCACATCAGCGACAAAGACGAGTCACGCGACCAACGGATCGGGAAAGTTAGAATCCGGTTATCCACTTTGGAAACGGATCGAATCTACACACATTACTACCCGTTATTGGTTCTAACACCCAATGGTTTAAAAAAACACGGTGAGCTCCACTTGGCAATCCGGTTCACCTGCATGGCATGGGTGAACATGGTCGCTCAGTACGGGAGACCACTGCTCCCCAAAATGCACTATGTTCAACCGATTTCGGTTAAACACATCGATTGGTTGAGACACCAGGCGATGATGATAGTGGCGATTCGGCTCGCAAGAGCCGAACCGCCACTAAAAAGAGAAAACGTCGAGTATATGCTCGACGTTGATTACCATATGTGGAGTTTACGGAGGAGCAAAGCGAATTTTAAGCGGATCATGTCGCTTTTGTCGGGAGTCACCGCTGTATTCCGGTGGTTGGATGGGATTTGTCAATGGCGGAATCCGTTGACCACCATTTTGGTACACGTTTTGTTTGTGATTCTTGTGTGCTACCCAGAATTGATACTTCCGACGGTGTTTCTTTACCTTTTTGTGATCGGACTTTGGAATTACCGATTCCGGCCACGGAATCCACCGCATATGGATGCGCGGATATCTCAGGCAGAGGTGGTGCATCCTGATGAATTGGATGAGGAATTTGACACGTTTCCAACTTCACGGCCGAATGATATTGTGAGGATGAGGTATGATCGGATGAGAAGTGTTGCCGGAAGAGTTCAGACGGTGATTGGGGATATGGCGACACAAGGGGAGAGGGCTATGGCGTTGCTGAGCTGGCGAGATTCTAGGGCTACAGCGATTTTTATAATAATTGCTTTGGTGTGGGCGGTGTTTTTGTATGTGACGCCGTTTCAGGTGGTGGCGGTTCTGTTTGGACTTTACTGGCTCCGGCATCCGAGGTTTAGGAACAGGATGCCGTCGGTGCCATTTAACTTTTTCAGGAGATTGCCTTCCAAGTCTGATTTGCTTCTCTAATCGTATATTTGATTATGTTTATATAATTCGATGGAATAAATGCAATAAATGATATAAAATCATTCATTCTTTTTGGTGATTAACGAAGCATGTTATTTTATCTTATGATTTATGAAGTTCTGTGATCATGATCAATATTAGCATAATTTTAGTGATTGAATTGGTAAATGGACAAATGAATACATACAATACATGTAACACCAAACCCTGTTTTTGCTTTGGACGAACATAAAGACAATAGAATAATGCCATGAAGGAACATAAAGACATCCCATTTTGCTTTGAAAGGGATCTCTTTAAATTGGATTTAGTGTTGTATTTTTCCATTTGTTGTCCCTTAAGCCAACCTATATCGTTTTTATTTTGTTTTCTTAAAAAGAATGTAAATTGACCTGATTAATAGGAAAAAAAGGAGGTGGTTAAGTGGTATGGGGCTGGGGCTAGTGTTAAGTCTCTTATCCTACATTTTTGCATTAATATCGACGGCCTCCATATCGGGTAAACAATAAATGCCCGATGGCTTTATATTCCTTCTGAGTTCTGACAACGGCTTGCCGATTTTGGGTTCAGTGGGTCAAGTCCATTATGCCCATGTGGCATGGATCACTTGAACGGTTTAGTGTGTTGGAATGTTTTTCTAACAAAAAGTACATAATGTTTTGAATTTGTTTTGTAGAATGGTTTTTAACTTTTCTTATTCATATTGAGTTTAGTTTACATTTTACAACACAAAGTGAGTCTATGAAATTATCTAAAATTCTAAAATAATATAAGATAAACATAAGAAAGGGTTTAATCCCAAATAACATATTTGTAGCATCAGTGGCGGTCCTAGGTTGTGTGGATGGTACGATAGTACGGGGCTACCAATCATAAAGGGTCTCCAATCGAAGTGTCAGGGTCGAACATGTCTAGTAAATACTAACACCATTGTAAGAAAGATACACAATATACTATAAGACTCCCTCAACTTAAGATGATATAGGAGAAACCAACTTGAGTTTGAAAGAAGAGACTATGGAAGTTGAACCCTCTTCACTCATGATAAAATCCTAATTTTAACCCTAATTTAAAAGATGGAGATTAAAGAAGATACAACTTTGATGCTTAACGGAGGTAATAAGTAATTGTTAATATAAGCTCTAATTCTTTGAAAATAGTGTACTTTTTCCAAAATTCGCCTTAGAAATTGTCCAACGGGTCTAGAACAAAGACCGCAGCAAATGAAGTTAAAATGGTATTACCCGTTTAAGTTAAACTTAACCACATTTTCCCCAACTTAACAACATGCAAACTAAACATGTTTGTTTAAGAGTGGACTGTGCAACTAAATTCTCTCTCTCTCTCTCTCTCTCTCTCTCTATATATATATATATATATATATATATATATATATATATATATAGGCCTAGGTTATTCTATTTTAACTAATTATCGTGTGGATGTAGGAATGATTGTGGGCCAATCATTTTACTTATTTTAAGAAAAGTGATTAATACATATTATTGAATTAAATATAATTGAAAATTATCATCTAATTTAATTACAATGGTATTTTAGTCAATTAATATAGATTTAATAAAGGAAAATTGCATATTTAAGGGATCATAGATGTTGTTATTTTTAAAAATCCGATTTTACGAATTATAATTCTTCTAATTCGGACATTCTGACAGAATATGTTTATGAGTATATTCAAAAATAAAAATATTTTTGAACAATAAATAATAAAAATATTTTTGAACCTATTTCTTGATCATGACTTTAAAAACTTCTTGTAGAATAACAAATTATTGAACCATCAATTGAAGAATAAAAACAAAAATTACATTAACTCTTATAGAATACGGATAACAATTGCTAACAATTACATTTATTGTTAAAGAATAAAACTAAAAAAACTTTCAAATCGGGAAAGAAAACATCAAAATCTAGGGATGAGCAAAAGGACCGAACCGGACCGGACCGGGGAACCGGCTTCAGCCAAAATCTAGAACCAAACCGACCCGGCGGTTCTACCGGTTCCGGTTCTACCGGTTCCGGTTGCGGGTCCGGTTTTTGCCGGTTTTTCGATTTTGGAACCGGCTACCTCCAATTTTTACCAAACACATTTAGTCATATTGGAACCGGCTATATTTTGATGTATCCAACGACTTAATTGTAGCAAAAGATGTTCCCATTAGAGTTTCCCTTAATTACCACCAATCGATTACTTTGCGTTTTATTGGTTGGTTGTGATTTGTGAAGAAGTGGATGTTTAAAGGTAATGTTGGCACTATCTCACCAGCACTTGTATAAGCTAGTATTATAAATTATAATATTATATTATCAGTGGATGTTTAAAACTTAAAAGTAATCCACTGGAAATCCATGAACCTTAATGTTTTTGTATATAGAGCTTCTACAATGGTGGTACCCACATGTGTAAAGAGGACGTGACTTTAGAATGAAGTGGCGTTGAAGGGTTGAAGCTATAAAGGATGTCGTGAAACCATCTCTATTCTACAACATGGATGGCCTAAATCAGTTACATATTCTATTATTTTTTTCTTTTCATAGATGCAATCCAACTGTTTTAATTTTTTATTTTTATTTACAATTTAATCCAAGTTTTATTTTCATACTTGCTTCCAAAACTTGTACACACATGAACATTAAAGTATACGTTTGGAAAATTAAAAACAGTGCGTTTCCATGAGAAAGTAACATGAACTCATCGTTGCAAAATGTACGGATCAAGAATGCACAATTGTTGATTTTATGACTTAGATATGATAGAAACAACTATTGACGAGGGTATATATGATTTTGAAGTTTTGTTTTGAGCATATTTCTCTCATAATTATGTAAATTTACTTTCCACTATCCCTCCTCTTTTTTTGCGGATTTTGGACTTTGTTGAAAATTTTCTGACATTAAATATAGACGAACATCCATATAAAAGGAAGTACTATAATCAGTTGTCAAGATAATTATTTTTGCCACCGTAATTTGTAATACTACTTTCATGGTAACTACTTTTATGAATTATGCGACAAAGCCAACGACATGGGGTTTTTTCTAGCCGGTCCGGTTCCCGGTTTTGAGCCGGTTCCAACAGCCGGTTCTTACCGGGTCCCGGTTCCAAATAATCACAAAATTATAGTATAGGTCCCGGCCCGACCGGTTCCATCGGGTGCCGGTTCCGGGACCGGTTCCGGCCGGTTCCCCGGTCCTTTTGCTCATCCCTATCAAAATCTAACAAAGACACTAATACATTCTAAAAGAATAATGTTGCTTAGAATCACTTTCAATCTTGTGGTTCGTTCTTCAAGCATCAACTTCTGTGAAAACAAAACCAAATTGTAGTTTAGAATCCAATATTGCATTAGCAAATGAAAAATAAAAAACTAAATTCCTGTGGAAAAATATGCGGACTTGTGAATTGCACCAAAACCAATAATCAAGAATTGTAAAACATGCATAAATCAGTGAGAAAATATACATATTCCATTCCAACGTAATTGGAATTCGTGATTCCATTCCAATAGAATTGGAATTAAATTTACAATTACCGTATGCATTCTGTTGGAATTACCTCATAAGTTTTACTTAACCTGATCATTATGTGAAAAAGAAATTAAAAAAAAATCAAATCCTTAGCTTTCAACTTGCATTTAGCAAGTAAAACAAATTGGAATTACCTCGTAAGCCTCGTTTTCTCAAAGCATGCAAACATTTTCAAATTGAACAGATTAAAATAAAAAATTAAATCCATTTATTTCAATATGTCTTTCTAGGAACCCACACAATGGATAGTCTTGCACATCATTCGATTCTGTCCAAAATTATAATAGAAGATACACTGCTAGATTATCTTAAAACTACAAGCTTTATTGGATCTATGTGAGCTATGGCCTTCACTTTCATCCTTTCCCAATTAATTAATGTTTGTACAAGTCAAAACAGATATCACATATCATGTTTTAAAACAAATGTATCTTCTTTAACTAAACCCACAGTCCTATGCAAAATATGTATAGCCTTTCATGCATCCTATGTTTTTTAGGGTATAAATCATTACCCGGTAATATTAGGGGTAGTGCATCCTTGAC